TGGCAGTTGTGGAGCTGGGTACCAGGACAGTCTTTTTAAAAGAGGGCTGGATGCAAACAAAGAGAGGGATGTGATTTAGCAGATGTTTCGTGACAGGCTGTGGCTGGTGGGAGGGTCAGTGTCCAGAGCTGTGGCTAATACAATAGGAGCCCAGAGAAGGTGTGTGTGTACAGCTGGAGCCTCCTTTCAGAGTGTGCATCATGCTTGCACAGGAGCTCAAGGACTTGTTTTTAAAAGTGGAGTAGAAGAGCACAATAACAACATCTTACACATAGTACTCAAAGAATATTAGTAGAGTTGATTTGAAAATATAAACAGTAAATCCTTTCAAAGTTTCATATTGCTATGATTTAAAAAATTTCATATGCATGTATCATTAAGCACTCTATAAAGCACCTTATATATGGTATAAACATTAAAAGTACATAGTTTTAAAAAGTAGATTGGCTCTTGAGCTGACATCCCAATGTATTTTGTGTCTGTTGAAGAGACAACAATGTTAACTTGGCCCTCTTGTGACTATCTTGTTGGAAGCTACAGCACGTAATGAGAAATGTCAAGTCCCAAGATCAATGAAATTTTGGACTCTGGGGATTCAACAGGAATAGCATTGATCCTTTCAGAGAACACCAGTCAGAGATGGGTTGTAATATATTGCAAAGAGGGGCTCAAGAGGATAAGTGGCCAAGTCCAAGATACCCACCTGACAAAAAATTCAATCAGCTTGTAGCACAAATTGCCTGCTCTGCTCTGCTTTCTTTCATGCAGTAGGCTGCTTCCAATTAAAGTGCGCAAATTAATTTTTATCACTTCCAAATTAGTTTCAGAATTTGTGTAAAAGTCTGTTTCAGATGAAAGCATCTGTCCGTCACATCTTTGCAATTCTGCCATTAGTTAAAGACCTATTTAAAATCTCCAAGATGATTTTCTATGTTCAAAGTCACAAGTTTAAAAGAATAACAATGAATATTATTATTTTAAAATACATTAATAAAACAACTATAATTCAAGTGTAACCTATGCTAGGCAGCCTTTACTTGTTTCTTTTATGGTCTGAAACTCTCTTTGTAATATTCTGTTTACAAATTTTCATTGTTCTGTGACATATTCATTAAAATGGTAAGAATAAGTACAAAAAGACTAATATTTCTGAGATGTCTAAATTAGTCACAATGTATTTGATACAATGATACCACACTTTCTATACCTACCTAAAAAAATCCACAAATATTACTTACTTTTTTGTGTGGAGTCAATAGAGCTATCAATTGCAACATAATAATGACAATGCAAAAGAAACAAATATATTAAAGCCACTTGAATTTATCTTGAGAAGATTTCAGTGATGCAGACGTAAGGTTAGAGGATAAATTCTATCATTTTGTGATGTGATGAACAAGTATGGTTTGGCCTCTGTGACATACAAAGCAATTCAATGTCCATACCAAGACCAATCTCTGAGTTATAACAGCTACTGGGATATTATATTTCATGCTAGAATTTCCTCCTTCAAGTCTAGGTTAATATATACAACCTCCAAAACCTAAGGGCATCATGTCATACACTTTAATACAAATTTAGACATAACAAGCTTTTTGGTCTTGAGTAGCAATGTATTATGAGATAGAAAACACATATAGCCTGATTCTCTGACCTGTGAACTGGTAGCTAGAGTAGATTAAACTAGAACAGAAAGAAACCTTTTTCTTTCATATTGTGAATTTTCTATGCCTATATCAATACCACAGCTGGATCACTGACATGACAGTCAATCTGGTACATGCTGCAAGAACAGAAAGAAACCTTTTTCTTTCATATTGTGAATTTTCTGATGGCAATGACTATGCCTATATCAATACCACAGCTGGATCACTGACATGACAGTCAATCTGGTACATGCTGCAACTGCCTTTAAAAAAAGTGAACTGACCAATATATGTGGTTGATCCAGTCAGGCATGTATATGCTACTATCCTGGCCCTTTTAACAAACAAGTGAGTCATAAATCAGTTGAATAAATCAAATACTAAATCTGACTGATTTATTTCATACACACACACACACACACACACACACGCACACACACACATTTTACTATTGACTATCTTTACGGCAAGAAGCTGAAACCATTTTTTATATAATCATCAATTTGTACCCAAGAGTGGATTTTATTGAAGTGGTTTAGGTTCACAATGATGACAACAGTTTTTGACCAAAAAATAAATTCCTATAAATGGAGGAAATACTGAAAAATACCTTTTGATAAACTTCTGTCATAACTTAAGGATAATCTTGTCCTTAGTTAAACCTTAAATAAAATACTGCTTTTTAACAACTATAATATTCACAACTATATTCTTAAGGATTAATATAAACATTTTGTATTTACATAGCTCCTGCTGTAATGAACTTTAAACACCCGAATATTATTATATTTAACTTTTCCCGCTAACTGATGAACCAAAGCTATAATCAATATTTATCTGTCTTTTGGTTTAAAAGATTATTAGAAAATAAAGTAGCTAACACAGACAATTACTATAATTTAACATTTTTCTTTAAAATTCTTTATCTCTGAGCAGTATACTACATGAGTATAAAATATCTTATCTCTGCTACCAGATGGCAGCTTTTAAGAAACAAATCCCCTTTTTGGAAATAACATTTGCATCATTTCTGAGCTTCATTTTGAAGATGTTAATTAATTAGATTTAAAGCTCTAATCTGTTTCTTTTAAAATTTTTTCTGTCTAATAGCGTCCAATTTTTTTTCAATATATATGGAAGGTACTACACAGACCTGCTGCTGCTGCTGCTGCTTAATTAAACTTTTTAATAAAATTTGGAAATATGTGAAAATAAACTCTAATCTGTTTCTTTTAAAATTTTTTCTGTCTAATAGCGTCCAATTTTTTATCAATATATATGGAAGGTACTACACAGACCTGCTGCTGCTGCTGCTGCTGCTTAATTAAACTTTTTAATAAAATTTGGAAATATGTGAAAATAAGTTTCAGTAAAATATATGTAAGAATGCACCATACCTGAGAATAATAAAGTCACCACTGGTAGGTCAAATGCCTTACACACATAGACACACACACACATACACAGACACACACGAATTCTGCTAAAAATATATTTTTTTTAAAGAATATGGTTTAAAAAAGAATAAATGAGGAGGTTAACTTAATAGTATTTAGATACACAGACACACACGAATTCTGCTAAAAATATATTTTTTTAAAGAATATGGTTTAAAAAAGAATAAATGAGGAGGTTAACTTAATAGTATTTAGAATATGATGTTTGTTAATTATGTAGAATTGGTAGTTAATTATTTGAGCTGATTGGAAATCAGGCAACACAGTATCTTCCCCTGAAATCCATAACACATCTTAGTCTACAATTCAGAGCAGAGACTTATGCTGTGACACACACCCTCTCTCACGCTCAGTGTCTATGCCGACGGACATACGGTACTCCACGACACACTTTCAGTTTCTTCATCTGCTGTTCTTCAATTCTAGCTATGGGCAACCAGAATAAAGCTCCACATAACATCTGGTCACCTAGTTCAGTCTTCCAACGTGTTCTTAAACACACGTGTGCCTACTTCTCTCCTGTCCACAGTGGGCCTTTATTCCTATCCATCAAGAGCCCTTTCCTATTTTTGCAGTATTCCTGTCACAATGCATAGAGTTGAGGGGAGGGAGTGGGACGTGGAGGACAGATGTGCAGTTTGATTTCCACCCCCAGCTACCTCACAGGCTGGGACTGACGGGCGGGCGGGGGGCAGCCTCCAGCCAAGCAGTGGTAACACAGCATCTTACAGGTTTTTTATCTCTTCTTACAATATTTCAGTTGCAGATGCACAGGATTCCTGGGAAATTCTTATTGCTGCTGTGTCATAAGTATTCCCCAAACTCATGTTTCAGTTTATTTTAGAGTGCTGTTTTAGGCTGTGACCCAGGTATAAACTACAATTTTAATAACCCTGGTTTAGGTACTAGCCATTATCAATACTTTACAGAAATTATTCTATATTTTACAGAAAATACATGCATCTGAACTATTGAAATCTTGGTTAATATAAGCTGTAATTATTTCTAGCAAACTCTTATCTAGCTCTAAGCAATAAATATTGCTTAACAATATTTACTGAAAACCCATTTGTGTGTCACTATGCCAGGAACCAGAGACTTAAGATGCAAAGGGAGAAATTACTTCAGTGTTTCCTTAGGACAACAGTTCCAAGGACTAACAACTGCTATCACATAAACAAAAGGTTCCATGGAAAGGGTTTGAGAAACTATGGGTTAAACATATGTCATCAGATTTATTTAAGACTTTCAGAGCTTAAATAGAGACAGTATATGCAGTGTTGTCCAAAATTATTTACTATGGAGTCCCTTCCTTTTTTTCCCTCAGAGGACATTTTAGCGAGCACTGTTAAATAAAAAAAAGCCCTGAGAAATCATCCTAAGCAAGGAAACTGTCTTATTTAGTTTGTGCATCCCCATGCCTAATTTGAACGGGGTACTGAATCATTGTTTATTAAATGTATAAACAGAGAAATTTACTATACAGCAGTATATGGTAGAAAGTAGTAAGTGCCCTGACTGAGGCACAAATAAAATCATACAGAAATTCAGAGAAGGGAGAGATTATATTCAGCTGAGAGAAATCATATGAGATTTAATGGACCAGGTGACACTGAAGGAAACTTCTGAAGGATGAGGACATCTGGAGACTGGTGAAGGCAGCTGAGCAGAGGGTCAATGTGAGGGGATCTGGGAGTCTCCCCAAGTTGAAGGTGATAGTAGTTGCTCATTTTTACACTTTGAACATAGCTATAATCCAACTAAGATGTTTGCCATTTAAGGTTTAATATTTTAAAATCCTTTCAAACCTCAGGAATAACTATAAGGAAAATCAAAAAGGCAAAATATATTTAAATGAAGTTATAGTCTAATAGGACAATTCTAGAAACACACTTACTGCTATTAGGGTTGTCTCCTATGATATGGTGCCGCCCACTCCAGTACCAGAGAAGCAGGGTAGCATCTCGAGATCCAGACACGATGTAGCAGTCCCCACCAATGTACGACTCTGACCTGGCCAAGCATGTGACTACATCCCAATGGCCAAATACAATCTGAGTCAATTTCCCTGCAACACAGAAATGACAGGTTTATTTCATTTACTCTTTTTCTTTAGATGATAATAAGCTTAAGTTTATTTTACCAGATTTGTGAAAAGTGAACCAATAGACCCACAAATTTATAAGGTAATTCAAATTGAGCTACAGGTGCTTTCTTGCATTGCTTGTGCAAATTGATACAAGAATGTCACTTGGGATTTTTAAGGAAAGGACTTGTAAAATAACATGATCATAATTTTTCTCCTCAGGGTTTGGGCCAGACTAAGGGAAGGTTTGAGTTTTTTATTGTATATGAATTGGGGGAAGAGAACAATAGCCCCATTTGTCCTATGAACTCAGGATCATGCTAAAGGTCATAATGAATGGAGTTATAATTATTTAGTTTACAATGTGAACATTTAACTTGAATCTTGACCACTGAAGTCAGCAAATGATGAAAATGCCTACACTAAGTATGATTCCACATTAAGCGTTGGTTGTAACAATAGTCATTGTGAAGAGAATAAGGTATTTCACAGTTAAGATTACCTGTTTCTGTAGAATAAACTCTGAAGCTCTTATCCCAGAATCCACAGATAAGAATGTAGCGATTATCTGCTGTTACCACAAAACAATGTGCGTTGATTTGTATACTCTGGTCAACAAGGTCTGTGATCTGTCGTTTATTCACACCAGAATTGTTGGCTAAAAATAAATAGAAAAAAGAATTTAAAAAAAGATTCCACAAGAATTTCACCAAGCCCTTACAGAAGGAAAAATAAATACTGCTATGCTTCATTTATCCAGAATTAGGTTTTTAAAAAGCTACAAGATTATTAAGATGTTAACAGTTTCCCTTGAGGAATATAAATTTCCTTAGTGGCAGTGATTATTTATAAACCATATTACATATTTAAAAACTGTGCCAAAAATTTAAGTTCTTTTTCTACCAATACATAAAACAATATGGGGAATTCAGGATAATGAATTTAAAACACAATAAAAATATTTACATGCATTTAATTTTATAGATGTTTAGTAAGCAAAAGTTCATTAGTGTTCAATAAGAACCAAATGAGAAATAAATATTGTATGAAGTATGTTATATGAGAAAAACATCTTAATATTCGCTCCAATCTGTCATTTTCTGATGGTATTTTCAATTTGCGTGAGAAGAAGAGAGTAGAGGTTTGGGCAGGGGATGTTGTTATGTGGGCAGCCCCTCAGGGAACTTCAGGTCAGTAGATTTAAAGACCTGGATTGTCAACAAACAGAAGGCCTTTCCAGAATGGGCTGGCAGGGTAGGAGAGGAATAAAAAAGATGGGAGAGGGATTGGGGAGGAAAGAGACAGGCAAAGAATCAGTATACAGCACTGGGAATGAATCTGAATAGAGTCAGGAACCACAGACATCGTCTGATTTCCCCAGTGCCTGTCTGGATGCCAGCCTGTCCCTTACTCTCCGCCATCCTTCCAGGCTAAATCCCTGGGCTGAATTCTTAAACAGAAAGTGCAGATGCAGAAGGTCACCACCACCAGTCTCTAACACCAATTAAATCTAAGTGCTACAATTTGTAGATATCTGCTAACACTATAAAAACAATTGCTAAGCATGGTAAGCAACAAAAAAATATTACACACACACAAAAAAGGCAGTAAGGGAAAAGAAAACTAAAGGTCCTGGGTCACTTGAAAGACTATATAATTGGTCCTTGATTAATTAGAAGAGCTATTAATTTTTCCATGGTCACATATTAGCTGTATATGTCATTGTCAATGTCTGTTGGACAGAGGAATAGCTGGGCTAGACTCTAAAAATATTAGTAATCCTAATCCTTATATCATCCCAAACACATGTAAATACTATTTTGTATAGGAGTATAAGTAATTATCTGAAGTGGCTGTATCTTATCTTATTTCTGAATTCAAAGATAAAGAGTTAATCTACGAATTAAACATCATATTTGCATATAGCCTAATAATTTTTCATAGCATTTTCAATTTTTTCTAATTTAACTTTCTAAATGATCCCATGAGATAGGTAGAACAAACATTATTATAAACTATCTTGCAGATATGAAACTGAGAGGCCTAGAAAAATTAAGCAGCTTGCTCTGGATCATATAGCAAATGAGTATGCAATTGATTATTTAAAAATATTTTGAATATCAGCTGCAAAGAGTTACAGCTCCTAAGTTTGTAATTCTTATGAAATTTTTACTTTAAGAAAATGCTTGAAGAATATTTTAGGTTAAAAGGGCAGTTTGGAATTATTTGCCTTGTTTATAACCAACTTAAATGACCTCCTAAAGTATCAAGAAGATGCCATGAATAATTTCTTTAATATCAAAAAGTTCTTAGATGGCATATTATGATTTGCACAGCTCCTTTATGGTAATTTGATGTTATCTGCACATTAATTTTGTCTCCGAAAAAAATATTATTCAACTATGTTCTGTGAATAACAACTACATAAAAATCTGGGGACAGTATCCATGAACGTTTATTTTTGTTTGTTAACATACCAATTAATGGGTCCATTTCAATGGGAAGATGATGGGCCTGATCCAAGGAGTATCCTGGAGCTCCTCTGAGGCCTACAGATTAAAAGAGAGAGAGGAAAACTGCCATAATATTCTCAGAAAAGAGGAATTTCCTAGTGAACAGTGTTTTATGATGATTGTACAAAATGTATACTTCCTAAAATATTATTTGGTAAATTATTCAAAGAATGATTCATCACACTACATGTCTTTGCAGATAATTCTTTAAAAAATCATCACAATAAGGACTTCAGGTTTCCACTCAAGATGTAGAAAACTGGGAAGAGTGTTGTTCCTGACATAATGAAAAGAAGAAGCTGAATAAAATAGAAGATCATAACATTTTTGAACCCATCAGAAAGCTAAGGTCACTGGGCAATCTATGAACCTGAAATCAAGGAAAAGACTGCCTGCAACCAGGGATCAGTATGAGCCCGGGCTCACCTGGGACAGGGCAGAGAGGTAGCTGGGGCTCCCACCCCAGGGGGCCTTCTTTCAATATATGACAAGTGAATTGAAGGTATAAAATTGGTCTACACCTAAAATTTTAATCTCACTAGAAACTACTTTCAGAGGATTAATGTTTAAAGGCTTGATTGAGTTCATTAGTCATAGTTTTTCACATGTGATTATACAATATAATACTTTTGAACAATTTTAAAGAAAAATTTAGTCCTTTATTCTCTCAATGCAAAACATTTCTAGAGGCTAAGAGTCCCGTGAATAATAAAGTTGTACTTTTTCCTTAAGATGTTTGCTGCATAGCTGTGAATGGATGGAAGTAGTGCTACTTCACGTTGACAATATCACCAACAACCATAAAATAGGTGCTCTTACAAACTCTTAGGAGATAAAGCCATGGTATAAATCACTGCATTTTTCAGAGCAATGTAGAAGCCAATAGAAAAGAAAGATTCAGGTTAATTCAGCACAGCTCATCTACTCATTTACTATACAGCAGTATATGGTAGAAAGTAGTAAGTCCTGGAGACAGTGGGAGTCCTGGGGCTTCCAGGTAGAGAGTAAGTGGTAAACTGGACCAACTAAATCATTTGGTCACATCCTCTTCTGCCCTGTTTAAATGAGTATCAATATTCTAAACTTTTGCTGGAACTTTCAGGAATCAGTTTGGAGAAAACACATCTGAAATCAATGAACAATTTAGATTTTGTCTTTTCTCAAAGACTCTATGCTCCACAAAGATAGAAATGGTATTTGTCCTATTCATTGCTGTATTCCCAGTGATCAGGACTATTCGACATGTAACAGTCATTCAAATATTTGCTAAATAAATTACTGACATGGAAGAAAGAGAATTTGAAACCATCATCCAGAAAATCCAGATTCAAACTCTCTTTTGTTTAATAATATGGGATACAAGTGGTTTTTTGTTTTGTTTTGTTTTTTTTGGAGTGGGGGGAAATGGTAGAATAGGATAGGAGAACTTGTATTATTTGTAGGACTGCTTGAATTTATCAAATATTTATTGAGTACTAAGCTATGAACCAAGCCTTCTGTGAGGCATTAATATCCAGCAGCAGTGAATAAGACAGACAAGAGTCATTTCGTTAGGCTTGACAATGATTGACTCTGCTGGATTTTCTAGATAATGTGCCATATGAGCTAACCCCAGCACACTTTTCTCACCTTAACTTAATTGTTGCTTTTAAGAAATCTTTAGTAAGTGACTTGCTAGGCACACATACCTACTGTGTTGTGCCATCTATTCACTGCAAACAATCGGCTGCAGGTCACTGTCACGACTGCAGGGATGGTGAGGTGGGGCAGAGTGTTAGCTGCCACATGGGTTACTGGAGAATTTGATGGAAACTTCAGCACCATAATCACATCCTGTTGCATCTGATCTTTAAACATGAGTGGGCTCTGTGGAAGGAAACACTGTTGAATAGAAAGGGAGGAGAGCAGAAAAAAACAAAAGGGATAACGTAGTTAGTGAACAGTCTAGGGAGAATGAGGTTAAAACAGACATGGTTAGCATGAAACACACACTGGGAGAACAAAGCAATCTGAACTTTTACACAGATGAATGATTGCCAAAACTAGAGCAGCTTTTACTTGAGGATGGCACAGAAAAAAGAAATCAAGGGATTGGTTAGCATGAAACACACACTGGGAGAACAAAGCAATCTGAACTTTTACACAGATGAGTGATTGCCAAAACTAGAGCAGCTTTTACTTGAGGATGGCACAGAAAAAAGAAATCAAGGGATCTGGGAAGTCACTGATACGGGACACCAAATTATTAATGATCGGCCTCAATTTAAATATTGCCAGACTGCCATGTGAAAAGTTAGCTCACGGTTACGTCTATGTGATGTGACAACTATCCAACGCAGTTAAAAAAATAGCTTGGTGGAAAAATTAGTCAAATCAGTGACTGCCACTGTTTACATGAAGTACAAAGTGAATGGATAAATACTTTCATTTTTACCTGGTTGATCTGGTGTCATGGCTATAGTCTAAGGAATTGAAATCTAATAGCCTCCTTAAGCAGCCTGAGTGCTCCCCTGTCACTGCTTTGCACACGTTTCTGTCCTGCAGCTGACTGATTATGGTTTATGCCTCCTTTCTCCCTTTTAGACCACCAACTTACTGAGGGCCCAAACTTTTTCTTCTTTCTTCTTTTTTCAATTTTTGTTTCTCAAACATCTAGCATGTGACCTGATAGAAAGTAGATACTCTAGGTGCTACAACACACTGTAAATACTACTATGTAAAACATATAAAATAAGGATGCTGGGAATAATCATTATTTAGCTTTCATATATATTTTGTAATTGTTTGCTCTCTATATGAATTCTGTTACATGAACTTAGAAAGCTTAGATTTTCTTTATAAACAGTTCCATGCCAATTTAGTCTCTAACAATTTCTCGTAGGAAAGGAATGAATTCTGACTGGGCAGTTCTCCAGGACAAATAATAATAATAACAACAACAACAACAACAACAACATTATTATTATTATTGTTATTATACAGAGAAAACTAAGGGAGGAATAAAAGTCTTCTGCCAACCCTTTCATAAAAGAAAGTGTTGGAGATATTCTCCTGGACAGTTTATTTCAAATGCTTCATCTTCAGTCTCGGGGCTCCACGACCACACCTCCACATCCATGCTGTGGCTGAGGGCTTATATGGGAACAGTGTGCGCCTGGTGCAAACCTTTCTGTTTTGTCACACAGAAGAGAACCAACTGCAGTCAAAAGAGTTCATTAGTGACTGACCAAGGTGGCTGGAACTGTTTGGCTGAGCTACTGTAGGAAAAAAATGTTTTAAAACAAACACATTGGGGCCGGCCCGGTGGCGCACTGGATAGTGCGCCGCTTGGGAAGTATTTTTGTGTTTCTCAGGAGATCGCCTATTGATTCCTTGAAGGTATCTTGTCTCTGTACCTCCAGTGCTTAGCATCACATCTGACACACACGGGAGCTCAGAAAAATT